AGAATTATAAAAGCACTACTTAATCATGTCTATTAGGTTGAAAGGGATACAAATAGTCATTTCAATGTGGAATGTAGCAGTGTTTACTGCTTAAGTTGTGACTGTCATAAAACAGAAATGACCGTTACCAGAAAAGAATGTAAATGAGATTTAGTATGCTGCTGGGAGACCTTCTGCCTTAAGTAGACAACTGCTGTTGTCTTTGTCAGCACACACACATTTCCATTGTAACTTTCCAGTCATTTCATGCAGATGCAGAGATGAAGGTAAGTTCTTGAGCAAGGAATATTATCTTCCGGCATGCATCCAACCCAATTGTTTATTGGAACTGGCTTGAATGCATATGTAATTTTAAATACGAGGACAAAGATACGCCTCTACCACAAGGATAAGATTGTTCCCACCTTATGCACTCTGCTGGGAGGCAAAAGTTGCGTGACTGACCCCTTCAAAATGAGAAGGGCACAGAAATTAAGTTTTCTTACTTCCCAAGCAAGAGATGCAGTCACTAACCTATTATATCAACTGGGCCATCTCTCCTCCAAGTGGATTGCAAAAAGAAAGAGAGTGATCTTAATCACCTGTGGATGCTCAAGTATCCTTTCATTAAGGATTGGAAGCTAATCCTCAAAGCACAGAATGCTTTCAGAAAAGGATTTTTTTTTTTAAAGAGTTGATCTTACATGCCAAACTGAAAGTGGTGACTGAGGAGCCAACCTGAAACTGCTATGGAAAACAAAGATGCCCTAGACTTTAAGAAGGACAGCGAGCTTAGTTTATGAAAGCTATTTTATCAGTATCAAGATATTCTTACTAGCTGACACTGAAATAAAGATATTGATGGCTTTATTTTTTTAGAGTAGCTCTAGTTGTCTAATCTCTTGTCAGTGCACAGCAGAAAATGAAGAAACTTCACATTTTAAATTTAAGTCTCAGCATTGTTTTCCTTCTAAGTACAAAGCACTGTTTCAATTCCAGCCATATTACAAAAATCACACTGAACTAATTCATTAAAACTCATTATTTCAGCTTTTCGAATTAAAATCAACATAAAAATTACTTGGAGGCTATTATTTTAAGTGTTCACCCTCCTCTAGTTTTGATATATACTGCCATCTACAGGTAAAAAAAACAAGAAGGTTATCTGTAGGAAAATGCATTTATCTTGCCTGTAGTGGAATCAGATCCGTAATTTGAAGTTTAGGAGCATCCCTCACCTCTGCAGACATGTCTGGAGGGTTCTGGCCACCGCAGTCACCCATGTCCCACACTGACTGAAAGCACAGTACGATCACACAAGGGACCGCACTGCTGAGATATCAGGTCATGTTCTACTAGAGGTTCTACTAAAGGATTCTAGTAAAGCAGAATCACTATATGGACTTTATTCTTTAATTACATTATTCATTTCAAAAGAATGGCAACTAACAACAAGGAACTTATTCTTTTTATTTCATATTACGTCCTTCCTATTCAGTTCACTGGTATGTCTTCAGCAATCTCTAAGAAACACGGCTTTGTGGCACAAATGCTCAAGGAAAATGATTCACCTGTGATTAATATTTTTGAGGCATACGAAACACCTATTTCTGCTTAAGCAGTGTGAGCAAAAGGAACAGAGAAGAGACAATTGGTACCACAAGCACTGAGTGATTCTGTTATTATTCCATAATTTAGAAACTTTCTCAGTAGCTTATAAAGATGGTGTATCTTAGCATGTAAAGAGGGACTTCAACTTTACAACGGTGGAAGTTTACACTAGCCAATTCTTCACTAGACTCATTTTGATGACAACTGCTACAACATTAGAAACCAAAATCTTCTACTGGAAGAGACTTAAGGAAAGAATTACAAAACTGAGCTCTATGAGCTATAAGGCTGATGGACCAACGTGAAGATGAACTAGCAGATGGAAGGCCTTAGATAAAAATATTCAAAAGCTTTTGGTGAAAACAAAGCCATTTCCAGTATAAACCATCGGAAACTTACAGAGGCAATATCCAGCAATACTTAAATTACTCTCTGCCTTCAGCAAAGAAGCTCTTACAAATATTTTGTTTTGTTTGTACATATTGGACTATACTCCCCTTAGTATTAAGGAGGCTGTTTAAATAGTATTTAGTTCACTACAATAGAAAAACGAAAACTCAAGAAGCAAAATCTTCATGACAATGCTTAATATTTGCTTTTTTATTTCATTTTATTTATCAGTAAAAGACTTCATTATTTTCAGTTTTAAATAAAAAACAAACACTAGTAACACTGAGCTTTTTTGTTTGGTTGTATTTTCTTCTGATTTTTAAGACTGCACTGGGTTACTTCAAGAGAAAGTCTTAAGTCTATTCTTAACTTAAAAAAGCAAATGGACAGTTTTTGGCCCAACTCAGCCATATCAAATCAAGTAGCATGTTTTACATGGTACATAATTCACAAAATTCATACTTACAGTGGTTCTTCCTTCTCATTTCTCTTACCAATGTGAAGATCCTCATGCTCCTTCATTTTATCTACAGCTTGCGCTTGCTTTTCAATCTCATTGAAGCTTTGGTTGCTCACTTTCTGCGCCCCCAAGCCACCTTTTTTGGCACCAAGCTTGATTAATTAAAAACAGAAACAACAAAAAAAAAAACCTGAACATTATCACCGAGACAATCACTTCAGCTGGCTTAATGGTCAGCTTTGAAAGCAACTGCACATACTGCACGCTGTTCTCGAAGACAGATGAACAGCAACGAAGATTTATTGCAATTGAACCGCTTGGTGCTTAATTTGCAACTTAAATATGGAAATAGTCCTCATTAGTCAGTGTTATTGGTTCTTATGATCCATATTTTAATAAATGTTGACAGGTTACAGTTTTGCAGAGATTCTTTTAAAGCAATTATATTTCTAGCTCCTATTATTTCAACAGAATAAAGTACATTCTTTCACTCTGGTTTTAACTGTGTAAAACAAACAGATTATAAATATGAATAGATACAGTGAGTTCTATCGCAAGTGGCACAGTACTTGGTCTCAGTTTCCCATGTTTATTGCCGACCTGTGACACTGCAGCAATATTTATGTCCACGCTACACTCGCCTTAACCCCCTTGAAAGTCTTCCTGCAAGCTCTGGTATAGAAAACAGTGCAGCCAGGCTTGATACTATAGCACAAACTGTGCACGCAACGTTGAACCCACTCAAGTGCTCCTGAGTTTAAGGGAACATATCTCTTTAGGGGGGTACTTCCTGAATCTTTCAGGATAGATCAGAGTGCTTTTTGCATATTAGGGCCCTCGAGTGGGAGCAAGGATTAACAGACTTGAGCCCAAATGAATCTTGTGCTCCAGTAAAAGATGAAAATCATTGCCATTAGGGATACTTGGGACTCAGAGGGTGTATATTCAAAATTAGACCATGGAATGCACTCAAATTCCCATATTCTGTGCAAGTCAGTGGATGTCATTCTGTAGAACACAGGCTACCAGCGCATCTGTGGATTATTTCTGGGGGTATACAAGAAGAAAGAGAAGCTCACCATGAGATATGCACTACATATTCAATTACCCATGCAGAGGTCTGAATTTCCGATTAGTTGCTATATTTGCAGATCAAAAAAAAAGTTGGAAATTACTGCACTGACCTGCTTTTAAAAGTAGATGCACTTATCTTTCCTGCAATTTTGCTTTGAGCATTCCTTAAAAGAATGGATGGAAATATCTTCTCTCAGAGGTTATGCCACATATGCATATTTACATTATATTACATATATATGCATATTGCATTACATTTATATTATGAATATTAAAAGAACTATTGTATTTCCTGTTTTCAGAGCTTGCTACAGAAATATCTCAATGCCAACCACCTTAGACTAGTATGAAAGACTGAAGAAGCTCTACTACCAAATGGCAGCCCATGTCTGTTAAGCAGGAAGAGTTACAGTGCATCAGGTTGAGGTGCAGAGACACCGGTTGTGAGCAGAGCTGTACAAAACTGTGATACAAACCTTGACTTCAAAACACATTTTGGCATTTTTTATTTTTCTCATTTTTGAAAGATATTGCCAGCTATTCAGATCCAGACAACCCATAAATAAAATGAGGCTCAGATACACATGTGAAAGTAAAGACATTTTGGTGAGATGCATATATATATACAGTGTTATAATTTAACTGAGGTCAGAAACCAGCCCACAGATGTTAAAGCACTCTACTACCTAGTAGCAGTAGACTGTTAGACAAATTAATTCTAGCAGTATAAATCACTTTGTAGAGGATCTATTCCACTGACACAAGTCCATACACTGTTAGCAATAAAAGTGCTGTTTAGCTTTTTCAATTTACATGATATATTTCTATACTGCAATCTACATATTTCCAGAGAACTACAATACAGGCAAAAAAAATGTATTAATTATATACACTTACGCCCTTTTTAGCTTGATTTGGCTTCTTTTTTATGAAGGAGGTGTTCTCTGCAAAGATGAAACATATGTTACTTGAGATACAATTTTATTAATATCAGAACTTCTGAAGTTTATATCTGCAAAATCAGCCTCAAAATAGAGAGCTTCATTTATTTTAATTCCTAAAAGTATTACTATTTCTACATGAAGACATTTAAAACTAAATAGTTCCAGGAAAGAGGACTGTGAACAGTACCAAGAAAAAGTGGGAAAGAGAAAAAAAAAGGAAAGAGTCCCTGATATAGTATATGGCATCTCTTGCAAATAAGAAATTGATTACGGTTCAATTTTCAGTTCTGGATACCTACTAGTAAACAGAATGGCATTTGTCAATATAAATCAGATTAGAGGTCTATTAAATATAATATCTTTTTCAAGATAAATTGTATTCTGGATAGAAAGTTACTGGCCATGCATAAAAGCATGGTTGATACAGGTAGAAGTAGCTGCACCAAAAAAAATATGACAATTATCAGAGGTAGTAACATTCTGTATCACTAAATAACTAGCTAGTTTTGTTCAACTGCCTAGTATTATGAGTCTAAATTACCACAAAAATTGGAAATTTCAGCTGTATTCATGCTTTGCATTCAATCTTCTAACATGAAAAAGGAAGACCTGTGCATATTTTTTTACATATGTTTTCAATAAGACCCCAATAGGACTCCCTACAGGAATACTGCAATGTCCCTTCTTGACAGCTACAGTCAGCTAACCTGTAAATCTCCCACATGCAAGTTTTCAACCCTCAACAACTACTAAATGCTTGCACATACAAGAAGTGATAAAATTTAAGATGAAATTTAGTCTGAAACAGAGGAAACAGTCACATAGAACAGAAATTCAGAAATTCTTGGCATAAAATATTAAAATTAAAAATTAAAAATTTTAATGTCAATGACAAATAAAGCCCTTGTTTTATGGGAATGTGTTACAGATATAAATGAGCAAATCATGGAATGTATGTGAATAATGATATTTTTCCTATACCTTAGTGTCCAACTCATAGAAACAGTGACTATAAAAACACTAATACAAACCAGACCTTCTCGAAATACTGGGTCAGACCCAGTGACAACTTCTTTACTAACACTATGATGATTCATGTAAAGATGAATCATCTATGTATTTTATTACATCCTACTTTTATTTTCTTCAACTGTTTTGTATCTAGAGTATGATTCATTCTTCGGTATTACTTACATTAAGATTTTAGACACTAAGGACTTGTATAAGCATTTTTTTTTACTAGCTTAAATTATATGTTTAATTTTCTAACAGGGAAACAAAAGCAACTTGTAGAAGAACAGACCTACCTATTAATACAAGTTGCATTTGTTTAAAGTACATAACAGGCTGTTAAACCCAGCACAATGTTCTACTCCACCTGTGTTCTTCAAATGTAGAATCTGAACCAGTCTAACAAGGAAGCATAAAATATTAATGGTCACCTTTATTAGGTGTGATGCTTGCAGCATATAAATTCATTTCAGGCAAAATAAAAGGCAGAAAAACAACACAGGTAAAATTAATTTGTTAGATGGAATACATTGATTAACAGAAGAAATTAAAATACAAACTCATCCGTTTCATGGACATCAGTATCAAAGTGAAACTTTCACGCCTCATCCCAGTCAAACATTCTCTGTAACAATGAATACTTATGCATGCTATACTGGCTGCTACCTCCTTCTGCTTACCCTCGTTACCCAAGGTAGCCTTTGGGGATGCACTAAGGCAATCAACACTTGGTCCATGCTCTGGGCCACCTAAAAACATAATAAATAACAATGGCAAAAGTAACAGAAGGCTCATTAGCACACTTAAAATACAGAAACACAATTCTTTATCCCCTAAACCTCTTTTGATATAGACATTACAATATGTTACTTCTGTCATAACCTTATAGCTACTAACAAAGCAGCAGACACCCAAAGATTCACTCGAAACCTTCCAACTCACATTTTAATTTAGATTTCTTATTAAATATCATTTACAGAACAGTTACTACTCTACTTGCTAGCATAATAATAGGAATTCCTTCCTCCTCAAAATTCTTGAATAAAGTTAGTATGGTTACATTCTTTAACAGCTTAAGTAGGGTAAACATAAGCAGACCATCAGAAAATGCAGCTTACTGTTGAAGAATCAACATACCTTCATGGCATTCTGAAATATTTTCTGAAGTTTTCTGCTTCAGAGAAATCGGCTCTGATGATCCCCATTCTGTGTTCTTTGCCTTGAAAAAAAATACAAAAATCAAAGGGCAAGCAAAATATAAATATGAATAGTGTTAGAATAGTGAAATGTTTTAGATGTTTTTACTGCAATTTGGTTATTACTTTTTTTTTTTTAAACCTATAGCAGTAATTATAGAGGAACGGTTAGAGAGCTGGGACGTGGCTGCCCAGCAGGCCTGCTCAATCCGGGCTTTCAGGTTTCAGTGAAAGACCAAAGGGACTGCTAACTAGGAGATAAGGAAGTAGACCAAGGTCAGAGGGAATAAAAGAGCTGTTGAACTAAAAAGATGAGCTAAACAAGTAAGGGGGGCTGTAAGGGTCTTAGATCATTGTCTACCAATTAGGAGCCTGTGTAGTTACATCACTAACTGTTAGAATCATATAAATGTACTGCATGTAAGCTAATAAACGAAGTCAGTTCCAGCTTCTATGAAGTTGCTGTCTGGCATTCCTGGCTCCAAACTGCAACAAGTAATATAATAGAGAAAGTCGGGATCATTTATTTACATATAACACTAACCCTTTTCCCCACACTAGCCACTATTTTATAACACTTATTTTTCGATGCTGTGTTGTCTACCTGATGAGTCCTCCCACCTCCCTCAGACGCATCCTACTGAGCAGCCAGGCTTGCAACCTGGTCTCAAAAACACCTGGCTGGTATCATCTTTCCCACCAACACTGTGCCCCTGCCAGTTCCTGCTTGTTCCCCCTTAGAATCTATGTCTCAAAACATTGTTCACACCCAGACAATCTCTTGCTCCAAGGTATGCAGACCACTTTGTCTTTAACCTCTTTCAAGCTCCTTCAAGGCTAGCCAAAAAGTTTCCTGGGGAAATTTAAAAATTAAATAAGATAATTTATGGGTAAAAATAAATATTTTTTTATGGAGTTTTGTATCAAGTTTCTGTATCGAGTTTCTACTTGATACATCAAGTAGATTCATTGGCTCCACAAAGACATTTACAGCATTCTCTACTTCAAGTACTTTCTTTCTATCTTGCCTCTCCCAGTCTTCTTTCATGCTTTTCCCTCCCTCACTTTCAAGCATTCTTATGTGTTGTCTTTTGCAATCAGAAATACTGCATTTGTCTTTCTACCATTAGGGCAGGTGATTCCCTGACGAAGGCACAGCATTAGAACTCACAGCACTTGTGTTACTAGGCTGTTGCAAAAGCATTTCTGTGCAGTAAACTTTTCCAATATGGAAAATGGAAATACTCTTCCCCTGTTTCAAGATGGTGAAAGGTATTTTTCTAAGTCAAATTCTGGCAGTGAGAGAAATAAAAAATAGCAAAAAGGGTGAATTTCCCCTTCTGAAACCTTACAAATATAAGAAAAAGATGACTTTTTAAAATGCCACAATTAAAAAAAAAGAAAAAGAAAAAAAATCTCATTTAAATTGTAGTTGATATTTCTCTCCTTAAACTTCTCAACTACATCTGATCATTAAAAAAGTCGTGCCATTTTTCCTGTATTCACACAGATTAAAATACAAGCAACTTCTTATTATTTGCTGCTGATGTACACAAACAATAGTACTATTATGACAGGAAAATGGATACATATATGAACTGCTAAAGAGGTCTCACAGTAAAAGCTAAAATCTGAATTACACCCAAGCTCTGAATTCTTTCTTATCCCAAAATATGCCTCATGATGACATTTGCATTTAGATGTCCACAGACTACAACTATATTAGAAAGCCACCATACTAGCACCCCGCAGTATTGTTTCAGCTTTTTAGGAAAGCTAGATGTTGTAATAGCTTAATTGCACTAACTCTGAGATCACAATTGCTTAAGCTGTTTTCACTACAGTCATACGGTATTTTCAAATACAACATTCTCCTGAGTCTCTAGAAATCTAATTCGTGAATTAGACATAGCATCCACCACTACAAGGCACTGGGGCAGAAGTGGGATCAAATAAATCAGAACCAAGAGTTGCAACAGCCTTAAGATCGCTACTTCGGCTTTTAAAAGATGCAAATATTTTGGAGGAAGAAAAAGCTTAACAAATAATTTAAGAACTCCTAAATTTATTGATTGAAACCCAAGCTCACTTATTAGTGAGTGTGATCTCACTAATCTATCTTTTCTCTATGAAGTTTTCTTTCAGTGTTTAATCTCCACTGCAGAACACGTAGTGCAAAAACACTGAGTGTTTTAGAAAACTAGTAAGAATTTAATACATGTAATCTGTACCTTTGGAGAAACCTGGGATGCAAAGAAATCTTCCTCTTTGTGTTGAGGTGACGCAGGTGGCATTCCACATCCATCTGTCCACAGCTAGAATTAAAAAAATAATAACAATAAAATTGCAGGACAATTGCATAATTTAAAATGCATTAATCTCAAAACTTCTTTTTTTTCCCAACAGTTATTGATTTTTCTGGTATTTTTCCCCCTAGAAATATATTTGAGCTTTAACAACTGACCTTTTTTTTTTTTTTTTATCTGTGAAGTTTTCCTTTACATTACCCATTCCCTGCCTAGTAAAACACTCAGTAAAATGATGCTGCAGTAAAACTGCCACTGCTAGAATTTCGTAAAAAGTAATGTCTTCATATTTGTACGTAAGGGTTTTTCTCTAAAACTCTGATTTTGTACAAAACAATTACAACTAGCAGTATTTTGGGAACAGTTTTCTGAATTGTCTCAAGTGTGCCTTGGTACTCTGCTTTGTCTTCCCACCTTACCTCAGAATCCCAAAACTACCACACTTTAAGCACAGTTTTGTAAGATGCTAACAATTTTAAGCTATGCATGACTTCAAAGAAGGCTAAAAGATTCAAAATGCTGAAAGTTACTGTTAGAATCCTGAAGGTCAGGACTTCATCTGTAATCTTCAGTCCAAGATCAATCATTTGAATGGTTATTTGTAGTAAGTGCAAAGGATGCACAACCAAAACCAGTAACCTCTTTCAGACAATGCACAACCAAAGAGAGTCATCTCTTTCAAAAAGGTTACCGATCATGTAATAACCTAACTTCATTATTAGGCAGCCAACTGAATCAGTTAACTTAGAAAAATATATATACGTATCTTTTTTAACATGACTGGGGTGAGACTGGTACTAGAATTAATGCTTTAAAAAGCATATCTGAGTAATTTACTGCAGCAATTCAGACAGCACATAATCACTTACACAACTTAAAACCACAGATGTGTTATTTCAAAGATTTTAATAAACATGATTAATGTCAAGCGATATTTGAGTGGAATCTATAGCTGAATTAAGACAGTCATGTTTCTTCAAACTATTATGGGGGGCACCTGCCACCAATTTAAATACTCATGGAATATTAAAGGTTTATGAATATGTTTTACATCTAAAGGTTGTTCAATTAGTCACAAGAAATATTCTCTGAAGTTAGCAGTGTGAACCATTTTATCTATAACATTTACAACATTGTAATCTATTAAATTTCATACCACTATGTGACACACACATTAGGAAAAATAAAAGCAAAAAAAAAAAAAGGTTGTTTTTTAAATCCTACTCAGTTTATGAGCTTGAAATAAATTAGTCATGGACTTGAGCAAGCTGAATTAACCAGCCAGAACATTCTTTTTCCAGGCACAGAAGAGTTGTCCAACTCTTATTTAACACCTCACCAAACTCTAATTCCACATACTTTGGCTAATAACTGTCAGTGACCTAACTTTCTTCAAAGCTTTGTCAGCGTGGATGAACTGCTTCAGCATTGTAAATGAAAAACATGAAATTTGTGGCATAACAGAACTGGCTAATTTTTCAAATATATTTTTGTAAAAAAGAAAAAAAAAGAACTGTTCAGATCAAAATCCCATTCAAATTTCACATTTTATTATTAGTAGTATTTTTTCTTTTTTATGAGCTATATTTTTCAAGCATTTCCAAAAAGCCCAAAACACACTACATAGTTTACAGGGAAGTACTACCACAGGGAAGTACAGCATTTCAGTTAGGTGGATAACACTAACTTTGTGGAGTCTCCTTCTCTGGAGATCTTCCAAACCCGCTTGGATGCAGTCCTGTGCCACGCGCTCTAGTTGACCCTTCGTGTGCAGCGGGGTTGGACTAGATGATCTCTAGAGGTCCCTTCCAACCTTGAGCATTCTATGATTCTATTACACTAACAGAACTTTGGTGCACATGTCTGGAACAAAATAGTTCATATTTTAAAGACATTTTGAAGTTTCTCTCTAGAACTCACAGCAGTTACTGCAAGTGTTATAATCACTGAGCAACTCAGAAGAGAACTGCAATGTCAGGTTGGGCTTTAATATCACTATTCTGCCAAACAAAAAAGATAAGCTGCCAACAGTTTACCTCCCAGCTTTACCTATTCATTGCAATGTGTTCCAAGGCAAAAGACAGACAATCTTTTGCACCACTAATTACAAACTCAGAATAACTCTGGAGAGCGGGAACTTTTTCAGCAATCAGAATGACCTAGGACCCACTTTACTCACATCAGTACCATGCTTTCTTGTTGCTTGTGTTGCAAGAGATTTAATCTTCTCCTTGTAAAGCTGAGCACCACGGCTGTTATACTTTGCATTGGTGTCATTTGTCATGCATCCGTGTTGATGGAAAAAAGCAGACTATGGGGCAGAACATAGAAAACGTTACGAGAAGCAGCTTTAAAAATTAACATATTTAAGGCAAATTAATTTGAAAGAATGACTTCACTGCAGCAAAATATCTCTGATCCTCACATAAATCTTACTGGCATATAAATAAAACAATAAAAAACCTAACTGCATTAGTATTTTTTTTAAAAAAAACATATAACAGCTTCTAATGACATACAAACAAATCAAGTTCTAAAACTAGCTGTAGAAAGAAAGAGGTAATTGATTCCCAGTACTTGTGCTATGGAGGACTTTATTAATACTCTAAAAGTCACTGTTTCACTTCATTTCTGACATGCTAAGGAGAGCAATATATGTTCAATAATACTTGAAGAACTAGGTTACACATAGGTTTTCCATAAAGTGTGTATACACACACCCATGCATATACATGATGAAATAAATTTTATTAAGATTTAAATAAAACAAAAGCACATCAATATGCTTAAAATAGAGTTCCACAATGCAGGGAGAAAAAAAATTGTTTGAAAGATTAGAAAAAAAGCTGGGCATTTATTTATACTTAGAATTGACTAGCAAGTTATGTCATATATGCTTGCACACAAGTACCTGTCAAACTATTAGAGCAAAACATAATAAAATATTGCTTAACAGGGTCAACGTATCAAGAGAAGGTGATTCATTCTTTCGCTGCAATTACCAAGGGCAGATGTAGTATGCAAGTACAGTAGATTTCATAATCAGTTTAAGCAACAATCGTGCAGAAGGATATAATGCCAATCAACTAACTGCCATTACTAATGCAGTCAAAAATATAATGGATGTCACAAAAAAGTGTATTTTTTCATGTAAATATATACTTAACATTCAGAGCTCAGTCTTATACATCCTAATAATTATCACAGTAGGGATTTATTCTGAAAGCAAAAGGGTCTCTGAACACTTGAGATTTTCCAGTATCCTGACAGATAGCTAAAGATGCTCATGAGTCCTGTTTTTCAAGATTCAAGATCAAGATTATTACAGAACACAGATGGTTAATGCTATTCTGATAATATTTCATTATTATAGTCATTAGTAAAAACAGAATGTAGCACTTAAAAGAAATCATTGCTGCTTAACATGATTAGAGGAAACGTGTTAATTTTCCTTTTTAATGTTTAGGTAGTTTACTAAACTATTTAGTAAGTAACTTAGTAAATATTCTGCCAATAATCTTGCTAGGTAATCCAAAAGCAGCCATTAGGACTTCCGGATACATATATTGATTCTTAAGACCTCTTGGGACAACACAGGATAGGAAACAGCAACAACCAAAAGAAGCAAAATTGAATAATTCAGATTTGTTGTTGATCAAAACATAATCAAATCTTTTGTTTCAGGAACATACTTCCTGAAATAACTAAAGAAGTTTACAAACTTGGTCATCTGTTCCTTCTGACTGCCTTAAAACCCTTGGCCATAAAGAAAAGAAAGTATTTCTTCTGTGCACAATCTTCTATTGCACAATCACTTTTCTTGATTGTGCTATTCTATGCACAATCACTTCTATTCTGTGCACAATCTCTCTCTGATGATTACCACCAAAAAAAAAGTTTTGACTACGTAGCATAACAGACACTAAATAACTCATATAAGAGCAGTATTGAAATGAAAGTACAAAACAGATTACAAGAAAGAAATGGAGGAAAGACATCACCATTTCTCAAGGAGGCATGTAACTGCTCAGGATCATTAAATCAGGCAGACTGATCTACTGAATGCTACTTAAAGAAAAAATGTTTGACTAAAAAGGCAGAAGATAACTTGAATAATAATGGTATTGGAGTAGTAATTCTTTGTATGAAAGGAGACAAAACCAAACCAAACCAAACAAGCAATATGAGGACAGCTGAAAAGGCAAGTTCAAAATTGTTAAGTAAAACCTAGAGGGAGCCAGTTTGGCTGGGGGGAACACAAAAATAAGCTCCGAAGCTTGAAGTTTTTCAAGGAAACAACAATAAGAACAAAGCACAAAAAAAATTAAAAAAGTAGTTTAGGGGATTATTAGCAAAGCAAGAATTGCTTAGAGAAGTTGCTTCCAAACTGGCTGGGTCTACTTAAGGAAGCAATCTTTTATCAGCAATTACCTTCAACAAAATGGTGAGAAAAGAGGCAAGATTCCAGCAAAATTGACAAAGGAAAACATTCTCTTTTCAAAAAGAAGTTGAGAACAATACAGAAGTCAACATAACTTCTAATAACAGAAAAAAAAAGGCGTAACAAATTAAAAAAAAAAAAGTAATAAGTAACAACCAACATACGCTTGCCAAAACCAAAACTGTTTTTTCCTGCTATTTTATCTGCTATTTCCTGTCTTTGACAGGGCAGCCCTTCCTATGTGGACTTCAATTATACCAGCAGGTATTGGTCATATCTGGACTTCAGTGACACTTTTGACCGTGATATGACATTCTTGGCACATTTTCATACGGTAGCTGAAGAAATATTTCATGAGAAAAGCTTTTTTTCTCTAGGCGAGAAAAGCTAGAAAACCAGCCGTCAGTAGTTAATAACGTGTCACTGTTAAATCAGATACATACTGAATAGCAGGAACCTGGTCTGGTCTTTTCAATGATTTTATTAACAACTTTTTTTGTTGTGCTTTGTTTTTTCATACAGCAACAACAACAAAAAAAGCATCTGCACATTATACCTCCATGAAAAAGTTATAAGAATCTTGGAGAAAAAGAGAGGGGAAAAGGGTTTGGGGGTGGTGAGACAGTAAGAATCGGTCTGGGAAAATAAAACTAGCCCAGGATGTAAGTCAATAAGAATAAACAATAGCCTTTAAGTCTAACAAGCTTCTATGTGCAAAGCAATCGCCCAGGAGAATATAATTCCCAGGAGGTACTTACAGCATTTGCATTTCCTCCAACTTGCATGCATCTCAGTTGAAACCAAGACCAATTGGAATCCAGTTCTGTAGAACTAAGCAGAGGGAAATAATGTTACCTCAAAAGCCGTTTGAAGTTTCTCTCCCCCTTTTTTTTTCCTCCCGCATCACTTTTTTTTTTTGCAGAGTGAAAAATACATGTCTAAAAACAACGACAAAAAAAACTTAACAATGCACAATATGTAGAACAAATCTAATAAAGTCATGCACTTTGAGAAAATTTACCCTTTGAGGAATACGTTTTCACCTTTAAAACACCATTAAAATATATTTTCAAAAACCATAACTGAACTCCTTGTAAACAGCAAAAGAATCACACGTAATCACATGAATGGTCACCAATGTGACTATCCATGCACCATATCACACCAAAAATTTGGGATCCAGTGAACGTCAGGCACATTAATACTGTGATCATTAAGGATGGATTCTTAAGAATCCTCTTGTAACCCTCCTGCACACAGTGAAAAGTCAACAGAGGAAGATTATCGATTTAGTTGATGAACATTGGCTGCTCATATTTGCAAGTCATTCTTAAGACACAGTGCTCCCAATTACTTTGAACAACCTTCAATTTCAAATATGTAATTAGGCCAGAAAAAGACATACTCTACAGACCATGCATTAGGACACTCACTTGAAATGTGAGAAGCTCAGGATGCAGTTTTAAACCATAACTGACAAAACCTGAATATTGCCCTCAAAGTGGGTAGCCTTTCACACCTCTTTCTTGCCCAGTACTAGCACTCTGGTGACACCACAGTGAGCTACTGCAGGGAGAAAAACCGTCGAAAGGCAATTTGGCTCTCTAAACTGGTTTGCTCTAGGGTTGACCAACAAATTTAACAGTGCATTTGCTGTAGATTTGATTGGAGGGAAAAAAAAAAAAAAAAGACTTTGACACCTCACTTACTCAGTTCTTCATTCTCATCATCCAGTGTGCATAGCAGAAATGCTACTGAACCTCACCTATCTACCCAACTCTGAAGCAGCTATGAGATAAAACATAGCTAATGCAAAGTTTAAAGAGACTGAATTGGTAGTTAGTAGAAGAATGCATTTTCAACAACAACAAAAACACAATGTTAAGGTCTGCAATAAAAATCCTACCATTTTACTGAATTACTTACCGAATGAAACTCAGATGAACACCAAGTGATCGATGCGTCCCTGAACAATCAATACAGAGGAAAACTCCATATGTTATGCTTGCCCAGCTAGGGTTTTTCGCTCCACAGTCGAAACATACCTTAAAGAAAATAGAGAACAGTAAATGAATTTAAGCACAGAAACTTCTTGGGATTGTACTAGGCTACCCTTACAGAGATCAGAAATCACCTAACTCATCTTGCAGGATGAGTTGACATGACATCTGCATATTATACTAATTTCATAGGTCGGAAAGAAGCTAAATAGTTTGTCCAAGCTTCTAAATCTCCCATAAGGAACAGGACTAGGTTTCATGCATTTCTAGTTTCTGTCCATGATCGCAGCACACATCGATCCTTTTCTTATAAGGCCAAAAGGAAGGTGGGGACAGCAAAATAGAAGACTCTGTTTTAGGACAATTGTAATGAAATAGCCCTGTTCTTGTTTCTAATACAAAAGAGCAAAACAGACTTAAAATTACAGAATGACAGAATGGTTGAGGTGAGCAGGGACCTCTGGAGATCATCTAGTCCAACACTCCCTGCACAAGCAGGGACACCTAGAGCACAAGGATTGCACTCAGGCAGGTTTTTAATAGGTCCAAAACAGGAGACTCCACCATGTCTCTGAGCTACCTGTTCCAGTGCTCTGTCACCCTCACCATCAAGAAGTTTTTCCACAAATTCACGCAGAAATTCCTGTGTTTCAGTCTGTACCTGTTGCCTCTTGCCCTGTTGCTGACCACCACTGCGAAGAGCCTGCCCCCATCCTCTTGACACCCTGCATTAAGGTATCTGTGCACCCAGATGAGATCCCCTCTCAGCTTTCTCTTCCCCAGGCTAAACAAGCCCAGCTCTCTCAGCCTCTCCTCATGGGAGAGATGCTCCAGTCCCCTCATCCAGCCCCAAGCTGGACTCTGTCCAGGATCTCCGTGTCCCTCTTGTACTGGGGAGTCCAGCACTGGACTTGGCACTCCAGAAGAGGCCTCAGGAGGGCTGAGCAGAGGGCGGGATCATCTCCCTCATCCTGCTGGCACCTCTCTTCCTAACATAGCCAAGAATACCACTGGCCACAAGGGCCCATTGCTGCCTCACAGTCAACTTGTCTACAGAACTCCCAGCTCCTTCTCCACAGAGCTGCTCTCCAGCAGGTCAAGTCCTAGTCTTTACCTGTGCCTGGGGTTATTCCTTCCCAGGTACAGAACTCTGCACTTGCCTTTGTTGAACTACATGAGGTTCCTCTCTGCCCGTCTCTCCAGCCTGCCCAGGTCCCTCTGGATGGCAGTGCAGCCCTCTGGGGTATCAGGCGCTCCTGCCAGTTCTGCATCCTCAGCAAACTTGCTGAGGGGGCACTCGGTCCCTTCATCCAGGTCACTCATGATTAAGTTGAACAGGACAGGACCCAGGACTCACCCCTGGGGGATCAGCTACAGGCCTCCAACTAGACCCTGCACCACTGATCACAACCCTTTGAGTTCTGCCATTCAGTCACTTCTCCAGTCACCTCACCACCCATCCATCTAGCCCTCACTTCCCGAGCTTGCCTATGAGGATGACATGGGAGACAGTGCCAAAAGCCTCGCTGAAGTCCCTGCAGACACCATCCACTGCCCTCCCCTCATCCACCCAGTCATTCCACTGTAGAAGGCCACTGGTTAAGTATGATTCTCCTCGGTGAATCCATGCTGACTATTCCTGATCATCTTCTTGTCCTTCACACGATTAGAGATGACATCCAGAATGAGCTATTCCATCACCTCTCCAGGAATGGAGGTGAGATGACTGGCCTGTAGATGCCTGGGTGCCTCCTCCTTGCCCTTTTGAAGACTGGAGTGGCACTGGATTTCTTCCAGTCTTCAGGCACCTCTCCTGTTCTCCATTACCTTTCAAAGATGATGGAAACTGGTCTAGCAGTAACTCTCCCCAGCTCCCACAAAACTTGTGGGTGCACCCCTTTGGGACCCATGGATTTGAGGGTGTCAAGGTTGCCTAAAAGATCTCTAATCTCATGCTCCTTTGTCAAGAGTAAATCTTCCCTTCTCCAGACTTTCACTTGTCTCCAGGGTCTGGGATTCCAGAGGGCTGGCTTTAACAGTAAAGACTGATGCAAAAAAGGTCTTTATTAACTGCCTTCTCTGTATCCTTTGTCACCAGGGCACTCACCCCATTCAACATTTTTCCTAGCCTTTCTTTTGGTATTGATGAAGGTATGTATTTATGTAATGGCACAAATTTTTATTTTTGTATTCTTTCATATCCCTTGCCAGATTTAATTCTAAATGCACTTTAGCCTTCCTCATTGCATCCTTGCATATTTTGTCAATATTCCTATATTCCAAGTGGCCTGTCACTTTTTCCACTTTCTGTGCACTTCCTTCTTCCATTTGAGTTTTGCCAGGACCTCCTTGCTTATCCATGCAGGTCTCCTGCCCCCTCTGCCATACTCATAGGGATACATCAACTTTGAGCCTGGAGGAAATGATGCTTGAACACTAACAAGCTCTTTGGATCCTCCTTCTGTCTCAAGGCCCTAACTCTTGAGATTGCTCCAAGTAGGTCTCTGAAGAGGCCAAAGTTTGCTCTCCTGAAGCCCAGAGTTGCGATCCTATGTACCACCTTGCTTCCTGCTCACAGGATCCTGAACTCCACCATCTCATGGTCACTGAGGCTAAGGTTGTCCCCAGCCTTCACATCTCCATCGAGTTGTTCTTTATAAAATATCACTCTGAATAATAACATTTCCTCTTAAACGGGGAAAAAAAGAGTATCACTAGGCATTTTAAAATAAAAAAGAAGCTTAAAAATAATCATCCCTAAAACCTATTTTTTCCCTTCCTGTACCATTATAAGCACCACCTGACTTCACCAGCTCAAAAGCTGATTACATCATTTTGAAAACTAAGTGCCTCGAAGCGTCATATAGCTCAGTGAGCATCACTTTGAAGTTAACTTCATAAACTGTTCAACCAAGTACCTGGGAAAGTTATTCACATACATAAAATTTAGCTTCTGAAAATGTGATATAAGTAGACAGGTATCTTACTCTCCTGTGAGAATAATTTAAGAACTGACATTTCCATCATGTTACGTAACATTAATAGAAAGATATTTCAATAACTTAATGCTTCAACTCATTTTGCTTATCCTTCCTTGTGATTTTTTTAAAGTGGTTTGTATCACACAAATTTTAACAGGAAGTGAAACTGGAATTAAATCACTTATGAAAATGTTACCCTTTTTAAAATAGAGTAAGTGTATTTTCTGCAGTGATTTAGATAAAACAGAAATTATTGAACTGATTTTAGAAATCAACTTGAAAGACAAATAATAGATTGTTTTAAAAATACACTTGTATTATTTTTGTTTATTTTGAGTTAAGTCATTCCAGGACAACCTAGCTTCAGTGACAGTCACTTTGAAAAACAGGGCAAAAGGCATAATCGACATGTCTGTGCTGCAGCAAACACAAGACACGACATAATCTGCAGCAAGCAGTCATTAAATGAGCAACAGGCACCTCGGTCAAGACACCTATGTCAATAAATACATTATAGATATGAAAATGCCCTAGCACATAGGGTACAGAAATGTTGGTACTTCAAAAGAATTAAAGGGGTTCAGCATGTTACCTGAATGCAAAACTCACCCTCAGGTCACAGTCCATAGACACTTTTAACCCGGGACCATCACAGTGTTGTGTGAATACTAAGCTAATCAACACAGAGGAAGTTTCATGACTGGTCAAAGGTGATCTAAACCCGAGCTTAATTACCAGTCACATAGGTCTCCTGCCCCTCTCCTTGCATCAGCAGTAGCAATCACACTTGCTGATGCTACCAGAAACTAGCAGTGCCAAATGGCTCTGCATCAGAGCAAAGGTAGGTCCAACTCTCTCTCCAGCCACATGATCCATAACACCAATATAATGGCAGGAACTGGGATGTTTACCAGAGGAGAAAGGCAGGACTGCCTGTTTTAGAAGTGTCACAGTCTTAAATTAATCTGTCAGGGTACATTACCTTCTGCACCTGCTCAAACCAAACAAAAACTCCAATAGAGCATCACAATATGCACAAACAGTTGTGTTTCAGTCAGTGTGGGCCCTTTACTTGGCTCTCCACCTGCGCACACCACAGTGATAACCAACATGAGAAAAGGAAAAGAACTCGAGAGAAAGGAATAAAAAGTGACTTCTTTTTTTTCAGAATTAGAAATGCATGCTAGGTTAATGATTAATAGAGCCACACCATCAAGGTACAATCCTTCAAACCTGGTAAGCTTTCTAAACTTTTCAATTAACAATACTGGGTTGCTTGATGTCTGTGATCATTTTTAGAGGTATAAAATGCATTTTGTTTAACAACTGTAACCCTTTTGCTAAATATTATCAGGTAACACTATGCTACATAATACACAAGGAACAACAAAAACTCCAAAAAGCTACTTCTTGTTCTAAAAAATAAAGCAAACAAAAGCCAAGTTAGGCTAATCTCAAGACAACTCTTCACACAGCAATGTAACACATTATAGTCCACGAATTAAACCTCACATTTACTTAAATCAGATTTTTTATTAAGCACATTTGTACTAAGAATTACTGCAGAGCACCTAGCACAGTGTAAATACATATGTCTGCTTTGTAGGTAAATAGTAAGGACAGCTGCTGCACTGAAGAGATTCTAGTTCTTCCTAAAGTGTATAAATAAACAAGACAACACAATTAAAAAAAAAAAAGAAAGGTTTTAATAGAGAACTTTTCCAATATTTTCATTTCTTTCCCATGGCAACGGCAAAGCCCTACAAATAAAGAATGCAAGCAAAATCAGAATAAACCCAGCGAAAGAATAAAGTAAGATATAATCAAACATGAGAAGATAAAATGATGGCTGCAACAACTTTCAATTAAGAAGATTGTTTGGATACGTGGACACAGGAAATCTGTGGGACCTAAACTGTTGATTTTACTTTCCCTCTTTCCTTCCTGTCTGTCTTTAGGGATGACTGCAAAGTTAACATGAGTTATCTGCATCTGAAATACTTCTTTCAAACTGACCTAATCTGAATGGGAGAAAACTGTGCCAGTATCACTTTGTTGACATTGG